CTTCCCCATTGCCTACAAAATAAATATCACTTTCTGAACCTGATATGTAGGACCCATTGCAGCCGAACCCGGGACTGTCTCTCCAGTCTTCTCTCTGATTCTACTGCCCATCCAACTGGCATCCACCATTCCCTGCATCTCACGCGAGTCCATGCCTCTCGTTACTGTCTGGCCTGTTCCATTTTCTCTTCCTGGTGAACTCTATCCTTCCAGAACTGGCTCTCTATATCACTTTCTCTGACCCTCTCTTCAGGCGAATGGAGGAGGAGGTAAGGGGAGGGTCAGTGTTTCCACAGAATTTTGTGTTTACTCTGATGTAATTTGCTGCATCACTGAACCATGGCTGTGTCTCTCTGTCCTGGACAGACTGTACGGCCTAGGGAACAGGCTGACTGAGTCTAATGGTGTTTTATGTCAAAGGCAGACATTTCTGCCACACTGGAGGTGTAGTAAATGTTTGTGGAATGTGCTAGAAAGATCTATTTCAACATCCTTTCTCCTAGGACTGCCCTCATGTCATCCCATGTCCCTCTCCTGGGGAGTTTCAGGGCATCTTACAGTGTAAGTCCTGCCCACCTCACCTTTGCAGTAGCTTCCTGTGCGTGTCCAGGCTCACCCGCTCGGTGACTGTTTCCACGGAGCCAGGTGTGTATTTGCTGTGCATTTGGCTGGTAGAGCTGAAAAAAAAAAATAAGGGCAAGAGTGCCTTCTTTTTTTGCACTAACTGTAATGATGGGAACCTGGTTTGAAATAGGAGGGCTGTCTTGTGGCCCTAGAAATCCCACCTCATCTATTTTGATTTCCTTCTCATCTCTGTTTGCTATAAATGTTCTATAGTTTATTTGGGTGCTAAAGTGATAGGGTTGTGATATATTAAAAAATGTCCTCTTGTTTTGTGGTTTAGTCAATAGTGGGTATGATGTAATTTTCCAGAAAAGTTCTGAACTGTTATTGTGAGCAAGGAATGCTTATTATTGACACTAACTTTAGTTGAGTTCTGAAAACCCACTACCATCGGACCAGCTGGAATGCTTGTTATTTATTATGTAGAAAACAACATCCCTGCTTCTGTCCGGTGGGAGAACCTGCCTTCAGCTCAGATCCCTGCCAATTGCCTTTGACCCATGGACATGGATTTGCACTGTGCGGGTCCACTTATGTGCAGATTTTTTTCAATAAATACATACAGTACTGTAAATTTATTTTCTCTGCCTTATGATTTTCTTAACATTTTCTTTTCTCTGGTTTACTTTATTGTAATAATATACTATGTAATACATATAACATACAAATATGTTAATCAACTCTATGTTATTGGTAAGGGACTGGTCAATACTAGGCTATTAGTAGTTAAGTTTTGGGGGAAGTCAAAAGTTATACACAAATTTTCAACTTTGCAGGGGTCAGCACTCCTAACCACCACTTTGTTCAAGGGTCAACTTAGTTTCTTTCCCCAGTGGATGGGTTTTAAAAAAATCTTTCCCTTCCCATGTGGCAAAGAACAGAAAGTACCCAATGAAGCCAGCAAACTGGAAAAAGAGGGCAGACAGGTTACAGAACACCGAGGTATGGACAAACTAGTGTTTCGCCACCTACAAGGAAAGTGCCTTAGCAATACCACCCATAAAAACTGCATTTAGAGAAAACTTCATGCAAGCGGGCCAGGAAAGCTAAAAGGCTTTCTTCAAATAGTAACAGAGGCCCTGAGCCAGAGGAACAAGCTCCCAATACAGACAAGAATAGCGCGGCACACACGGAAGAGGATCGGGCGCCTGGGAAAGCATCCCCCCGGAGCAGGACAGATTATTCTTTGGCCTCACTGTCCTTAGAGTGGAAGAACTGGATATCCTGGTGAGGATCCCACCACATATCCTTGTGGCTCATTGCATGTGTTTATGTTTGGTGAAGCATGAAACTACGTTCACAGCTCTCACTTCACCGAGTGGATTCCGTTCATCTTCTGTTGGCTTCCTAAAATCCCACACCAGTTGACCAAGGCAGGTAAAATTCAGAGTGGACAAAACGAAGGGCTTTCAGAAGGCCATCCAGGTGTTTGACACATTATACTTCTCTAGAACACGTGGCTGCTGGCTAGGTGAGAGGATTATGACGCCACAGAACACCAGCTGTCTATTAAGTTTGCTTTCTTCAAACTCAGAGGGATTGTGACATCAGATACAAAGAAGCCAATCATCTCCTCCCTCCCTTCCTCCTCCCTTCCTTTCTTCCCCTTATGCTACAATTCAGTTTCACAAACTTATACAAAGGGCCTAGTTGCAGGTGCAGAGAGAGAGAGCTAAATAAGCCTCTTTTCTTCAAGAAGTTCACAAGCTTGTATCAGAGGCAGACAAATAAGTACAATATTTTGTGATAATCACAACAGTATTAGCATATCTGACTCTTGAAAGACACAAAACATAAATATGAGTGTGATCGTTGAAGGAGTTGGAAAGATTTTTATCAGTTAGAGCTGGGTTTAAATTGTCTTAAAGTGCAACTATGGAGAAATACCTTGTTTATTTCTCGGAGATAAGGTGTATTAGTTATTCCAGCAAGCCTGCAGAATAAATTGGACTCAAGAAAGATGTTTAACTTTTGATGATTAGCTAATGCTCTCAGAATCAAGGCTTGACTTGAACAGAACTGTGGACCAAAAATTGAAACAAAGGGCAAGATTTGCTCAATCTGAACCTTAACCAGTATGTTAAAAGACACAGAAAACTACCATTAAAGAATGTCGCAACTGCAAGAGATCTCAGAACTCATTTAGTCCATGTTTTTATTATGTAAATAGGAAAAAACCGAGCTCAGAGTGATTAGACAGTTATGTGAGGTCATGAAAAACCACTATTGGCAGAGAGAAAGCAGGAGTGCCCATATTCCAGGCTATTCAATAGTTGTCCTTTCAACTTCTCTAAGATACTGGGTTGGCCAAAAAGTCCATTCAGTTTTTCCTTAGAATAAAAGACACATATTTCATTTTCATCAATAACTTTATTGATCTGGATATTTTGAGTATGTTGGTTATCTCCTGCATGGTAGAATGTTGATTTTTCTCCATGAGTGTGTCAACTGGAGACATTAATCAACTTCAACTGTTCTACCCAACTGTGGAGCATCATCCAGAGAGAAATCTCCTGCAGGAACCATTTGATATGTTCCATCAATCACAGCACATTCTCCAAACACTGCACAAATCTTTTTTTTTTTTTTGCATTTCAGTTGCATTTTCATTTCTCTTGAAATAATAAAACATAATATGTTGAAAGTGTTGCGTATTTCCTTCCATTTTCAATATTAAAATAGCTACACAAAAATTCACCAGTTTTCATAAGTTTTTAAAAAAAATTCACACTGATATGACAGCTGTCATGATGCAATGTAACAAAATTGTTTCCAATGAAGTTAAACACAACTATGTGTTACTAGAGCCATTTACAGAAAAAAAAAACCCAACAAATGGACTTTTTGGCCAACCCAATATTGTAAGAATTCCTAGAATCTAAATGTTCTTCAATCATAAGATTCTCATTTTGCAACATTTCATTAAATGATTGGCTCAACCATTACCTTATTGTTGAGATTTAGAGTGTTTCCAACTTAATTTTTTTTCTAAATATAATCACATTTGTAGTAATAGTGATCACAGCATTTATGAAACACAGTATATATCAAGCACTGTGCTTAGTACTTCACATGAATTAGTCTATTATAATAATTCTGTGAGGTAAGAACTATTATCCCACCGTAAAGATGATGAAACCAAGGATTTGAGGTTAAAGTGCCCACAGCAAGGAAGATTTAATCCTTAATCTGACATAATATTCTAACTTGTTTTTTTATGAATATGTAAATAGGATTGTTCAAGGTTCCAATTGCCTATTGAAATATGAAATAATTGGCTCCAAATTAAGAAATTTGTGAGGTTTTTCTCTATTCCCTTCCTCCTCCTTTATATATTTTAAAAGGAAAAGAGCATCTAATAAATATTTAATGGGATTTTTTTACTTTAGTAATTATTCTACTATGATAAAATAACATGTGTTATGTACCTTTACAGTTATTTTGTGGTCTACAGAAAATAGTAGGAATACAGGTCCCAGAAATGATCTCTTTTTAATTAGAGGACAGTAAAACCACTGTAATTAACAGAAATAGAAACAAGAAGTGGTGAAAATTCTGAATTTTACAGCACTTGGACATATGCATGTTCATATAATTTCAAGTATCTAAGGAAATGGAACTGAATTAAAATATTTAGCAAGCTGGGCACTTAGTGTTTTAATGAATAGAAAAGGAGGATTTGCAATCAGTACATCACTGGATGGTGTATAAAATACGGGCTTCCAAAGTGCTTAACGATGGTTGAAATGGTTTCATTTCTTAAGTAGTTCAAACTATCGATATGGCTTACTATGAATTTTTGAAATAGTGTCAGACCAAGTCCGAACTTTGACAAAATGTCAATTAGAGAATTCAGAATTACTAAATGGGAACTTAAAGTGTTCAATGATTCTAAAATTATACCACCAACTCTTGCCCAATCCCGAGGTATTAACTTTAATTTGTGAACATCTGGGAACTAAAATCTATTGCCTTGGGCACCCTCCCAGTGGGCCGTGAACCTTGCAAAAGGTAGAAGCATGAAGAATGGAAATTGTAGTTAAAAGCAAGTTTCATACAGGTAAGCTCCAGGTGTTATAAATGAATTTTTAAAGGCCTGAGAAGTGAAAGAATAAAAGGGCTAAACATGCTTCTTTCGTAATCGAAAACTTCTACGGAGAAAAAAACCTTTGCTTTTTCTAGACGGAAGGCCTCCAGCTGACCCCCGCCCCTCCATCTCACACTGGAGACGGTCTGGCACAGCTGCCATCTGCAGGTAGTCTGGGCGTCGTCCTCCAGCCCCCGGCGCACGCCGGAGTCTCAGTGGCAGGGGGCGCGCTCGCCTTCAGCCAGCAGCATCAGCAGGAGCAGCGGGAGGAGACAGAGCAGCAGCAGAAGCAGCAGCAGCAACATTGCACGCCCGGTGGGTGCCCGAGGCCCCAGAGGAAAGCGAGAGGGCTGCCGGGGCAGCGCAGCGACTTGGCGTTGCCACGGCGCTCCTGTGCGCGTCCCTAGCAGCCGCCCGCCCACGTCAAGGTTTGTTTAATAATCGCTTGGGTATTTATGGCCTGGGCTCACGGAGGCCGCGGGGGAGCCAGGAGACCGCGCCGGGCAGCGGATGAAGCGCGGCGGCTGTGGCCCAGGGCACCTCCCCCCGGCTTCCCGAACCCTGCCCGGTCCCACCCGAGGGGGAGGATGGAAACATCGGCCGCGCTCTGAGCCCCGCAGAAAGACAACATCCTGCCCGCCTAAACACCCCGCGGTCCTGCGGAGGCCACCGACTTGTCCCCTCCACGTCTCCATCTCCTACATCCGGGCCGAGCGGAAAAGCGAGAGATGGCGGAAAATCTAAGGAAACTGATCTCCAACGAATCTTTACGATCGATGCACGACAACCTGGAGCGCTGGCTGAGGGAGTACAATGTGAGTCAGGGTTGGAGACCACCGGGCACTCGCTCTCCCTCTAGTTCCTTGCACAGCCAGGGGTTTGTTAGGCCTGGCATCGGGGTGGCTGCTTTGCAAAGCCCAGGCGGTGGTGATTTCTAACTGGGACCCAGCGTCCTCCCGGGATCACGGGGAAGGAAGGAAGGGCACGTGTTTGCTGGACCCCTTTTCTTCCCGCGACGCAAGGCAGCGCTGGGGATGTGCAGCCTGCAGAGCGCCGGACTCGGAGTGCAGCGGTGGAGAGCGCAATCCCGTCCTTTAGTAGTAACCAAGGACGCAGGTGGCCCTAACAACGGGAAAGACCTTCGATACACCGCTGTGACGGTCAAGTCCGCCACTCTCCCTCTCATTCCTTCCGCCAGCAATCCACCCTCCTGTTGCCATCTCGAATTAGTTTTTACTACAGCCCTCCTCCTGCTTCTCCGCAAGTCTCCCACTGTGAGGATATCCAGGGGGTGTATCAGAATAGATGTTTATTAAAAATACACCCAGTATTTATTACCCAGAAGTGAGTGAGACGGTCACTTGTCAACGTTGCTGGTTTCACTGGTCCGCATGGCTTGTAGGCACGGTTTCAACACCAAGGCCTATTTCAGAAGGCCTGCTGCCCGGACGTTTGTGAGAGGCCAATAATCCGTCCTCAAACCCAAAGGGCTCTTCAAGCCTTTTCACCCTCCACCCCCACGGAGGCTCCCATTACTCTCCCCCACACAGAAGGTAGAACTCCAGTGCTGAATGTGCTTTGCATTTGGTCTGTCCGTCTTAAATAGGACAGTTCCACTCTTAATAGCAAGTAGAATGGCAAGGCAGGCAGAGCTGGGGACCTGGAAACAGAACCCCTAGGTTCTAGGTCCGGTTCAGCATAGAACTAGCTGAATGACCGGGGCCCATCTACCTAACCTCTCTGGGTCCCGGTACCTCACCTGTTAAATGGGAGAGACTGGACTAGATCATACACAAAGTTCTTTTTCAGACCTCAGTCTTTTGAGTCTACATCAGCTTTTTTCTAACATCTCACCAGGAAAAATGCAACTGGCTGCTGTCCCGAGGCCCTTGGGCTTCCGCATTCACCCTTTAACCAGAGCTCCTGGTGGATGGAAACTCAACAGCTACAGCTTTCTCCATAGCCTTCCTTCCTAGTGTTTAGTGTTTACCCCCTTTGTTGACTTTGAAAGAAACAGCACTGACTTTTCCTTCTCTGAGATTGCAGGAAATTAAAACTTACCTTATCACAAAAGCCTGGTTCCTCCCCTCCACCCCTCCACCTTTAAACTCGCCTACTTGCCACCTAGTCTCAGAAGCTCAAGAGTAACAAATCATAATACGTATATTTACCTTCCTTAAAACGACCTTTTACAAAAAATTTGTATTGCCCTGTGGCCTAAATAAACTGAATGTTAAAAAGTATATTCAGTTTGTCAGAAGACATTTAACACAAATAACTATAATGTTTGGCTGGGCCCAATTAAGTGATTGTTTTAGAAACTACCTGTAAGTGCTAAGAAGTGTCAAAGTTTACTGTTCTTTTGTTTCTCATGAACAACAGTCCCTCCCATCCCCCTGTTCTCACTGCATCCGTTTCAGCCTAGCTTCTCTCCCTCGAATCCCCCATGCCTTCCGCCCACCCCAGCACCCATATAGCAGAGACGCACTTTCAGAGGGCAGTGCCTTCCAAATTGTCCATTTCCTGGGCAGCATCATTTCTCTTCAACTCTCTGGCATCTCTGTCACATTTGACTGTTGACACTCCCGTTCTTCGGAGCCTCTAGTGATTTATTTGTCTCCTTGCCTTGCCCACTCCCCTCCAGGGGCTGTTCTTCCAGGGCCAGACTTTGGAACTCTTCCCTTTGACCTCCATTCCTGCTTCATCTCATGCATGGTTGCTGACGAATCTCACCTATATTCAGGCTCTGTCCTCATCCGGGCTCTCCTGTCTCTGATTGACCATTGGACATTTTCAGTTGTGTTGTCATCTCAAAGTCAAATCAGTCTAAACCCGACCTTAGCCTCTCCCGTGCCCCCAACCTGACCTCTTTCCTACCTTAATCGTCTTCATCATGACACATGCCACATCCTTTCACCAGCATCATCTGTTGGTACCAGCTTCTACATTCACAGGGAACCTGAGTGTTTTTGACCACTTCCGCTGCTACCACCTGTGTCCACCTTTGATCATTTTTTTCATCTGGATCATTACACAAATAATGACCCAAGGTGATGCTTCTAAAGGCCAACTTACCCCTCTGGCAAAACCCTCCAGATTTCCTGTCTTACTGGAAATCAGGGCTCATGTTTCTGCAAAGGCCATGAAGCTCCTACACAATTGTGTTCCTGTAAACTCTGTGGCCTCGTCTGCTCTCTCCTCCTTGCTCAGTCCACCCCAGCAATACTGGCTGCCTTGTTCTTTCCAGAGCAAAGCTGCCCAGTAGAACTTTCTGTGATGATAGGCATGTTCTCTAGTTATACTGTCCAATAAAGTGGTTATTGGAACAAATCATAACAACAACGATAAAACATTGAGAACTCATTTTCTTTTAGTTTTAAAAGAGATGGTGGATTATTGCATTACTCAGCCTTTAAAACTCGGATTCCACTGGATGTTCAGGGAACGGCTTGGTGTGAACACATGACTTTCGGAACTGTTTTCCCCCTTCGTGGTTATTGAGAATGTTGGTGAAAGACCATAGAGAATCCACTATAAACTGAGTCAATTATAAAGAGTTTAATAATTCACTCAACAAATGGTTGTTGAGCTTCTGTTATGTGTAAAGGTTTGGGTTAGACACTCTAAATTTCTTGCAGTGCACATTTATTAACTTACGCATTCAACAAACATGTTTTTCAGAGCTTATGATGCACCTGTCTGTGCTAGGTGCTGGGAATAGAAATGTCAAGTGCATCTTAATGATGAATTTCTAATTGAAGAAGAAAACAAAGGATAGAGGAAGAGCATGTGCAAAAAGGGAGTTGTGAAAAAGCTGGCATATGTGGGGAACCTGTGAACTGTCGCTCAGGGCAGGGAGTGGGGGTGAGATGAGGCTTAGAAGGTGGGGTGGTGCGGGGAAGAGGGTGGAAGGTCTTGGGTGGTATATTCAGGAGTTAGGACTTGACCCTGAGGGCAGTGGGGAGAAACTAAACGCACTGTGCAGGGAGGACACGTGTTTGGGTTTCATTTTGGAAAGGCTGTTCTAGCTGTTGCATAATGGGGACACTGGAAATTCTAGGGAGAACGGACAGGGCTGGGAGATACGTTAGGCAAGAGATGATATGAGTCAGCCTTGTAGACTATGCTGGCACATTTAGTAAACAAGGTCAAAGCCTCTGAGGATAGTCCTTAAGGACCAGGTAAGAGGGTGCTGCCCCCGGCGCCTCTAATGTGTGCAGCATCTGCACGGTGTCATTGGTCAGCAGTGAAAGGGTCAAATAACCACGTCATTGCTCCGTGGGGATGTTAGGAGGAGAAGAGAAATTAGCCTCCTGGCCATGTTAGCAGTACCTGGAGGAGGTCAATTCTGGGCTGACACTCTCTCCTCTCTGAGATTCTTTTATTTCCACTCAGAGTCCTGTGGACTAGGGAGTTAACTTTGGTCAGATGCTCTGAGATTTATTACTTAAAAAATGTGCTTTATGAAGTTATAGTGGCAGTTGCTAAGAATTTACTATGTCCTTGATAACCTCATCCCTAAGATAGGATTATATGTCTTAAAGAAAAATGATAGACCCCACGACATTACAGGCTGGAAATTTTTGAATATTTAATGAGTGAGTGGGGGCGGTAAGGCTGGCTGGGTAATGCTTCCTTTTGCATTACTCTCCTCTTGTGTTACAGAAATATTCACTAACAAGTGAAAACACAATATTAAATGTCAGCACATTAAAAAGGAACTCTTAAAGAGGTGTCTCCTCTGTTTGCTTTAGAATACTCTGGTGGTTGAACCAGAGGCTGTCTCTCTGCCAAGATGTGCCCGATTCTTAGTACAAAAGGTCATTGCAGTTGCTATGGTGTCTTCAAACAGACTCCCTGCCTGCCTCCGCCCCTCCCCCTTAGTCAACATACTTCTACATTCCTGAGGATTCTAGTAAATTTATGGAGAGCGTTTTTCTTCCATTTAGGACGTTAATCTCTTTGCTAGACGGACTATGCTGCAGTGATGAATAAAACCCCAAACCTTAGTGTGTCCACATACAGAGATTGATTTTTCGTCCATGCAAAGTCTGATGGCAGCTCTCTCCATCACTGGCTCGGGTTTGGGGCCTCCATCTGGGGCAGCAGCCATCTCATTATAGGACCTCGAAGGTCTGCAGAGGAAGAGAGAGAGCAAGGATCCTAACACTGCTTTTGCATCATGCACATCACTTCCACACATCTCCCCTTGGCCAGAGTTAGTTGTGTGGCTCCAGTCTCTTGCAAAGGAGCCTGAGAAATGGAGAGCACACAACATACATAGATGATTGGCACTGTCTTTCCTGCCCTGCTTACTAATGACGAAGTCATGGCTATGAGAGATATCGACAAAGGGTTAGGGCAGATTATTTATTTTTAACAGAGGGGCTATCAACTTTTGAATTTGCCTTTTCTTATTTGCATCTTGGGCAAACTCATTAATGTAAAGATAATTGTTTAATATTTAAGAAGAATAAATAATGGAAGACATCCACTGGGAATATTTACTAGGGGTCAAGACACTAAAACCCAGTGGAGAAGCCTACATAGAAGCTTTTGTTAAATTGTCGGGGCACGTATAAGTCTACTTTAGCTTATAGCTTAAAGCCAGTATTTTGGTTTTGAAACATTGCTGTGGCGGGAGTGGCAGTGTGCAAAGCCAGCCATGATGGAAAGGGCTGCTTTGAGAACAGAGGTGCTTGGAAAGCTGTGTTAGGGGAGCAGGTGGAGCCTGTTATAACCAGCATAGAAAGAGCCCTCAGAAGCGTTCAAAGCACTCTGCATGCATTATTGCCTTTAAATCTTATAAGAACCT